ATCCCAACAAACTAAATGTAGGGCAAACGCTGTGTGTGACTGGGGTGAAGTGGGACATGTCAACATAGTTGAGAGGTCGCCTGAAATGTTTGTACAGTACACTAAAACGTACATTTTCCCAGATTTATTTAGCATACAGAGGTCAAATCTAACACACTTCCAACTCTCTTGCTAGGTAAACACAATGAGGATAAAAGGAAGCTTAAGCTTGTTCTTATGGTCTCACGCAACAGTATTTATATATTCCAATAAATTCCTTTTATTTCACTGTTATTTCATTACTCCATTTTTCAGTACATACTGCTGCTTCATTTTTCTGCAGTTCTTTCCATCATACTGAACATAATCTGCTAGCTTGTGACATTTTAGTGACGTGTAACTTTCCCTGATGAGTATGGCATTAGACAATCTTTTCCTGAGTATTATAAAAAAAAGACAGATTTTGGAACAGTGCATGTTCTGCAGAGCCAATCAAAATGTGGGTTATTGTCTCCAGGTGTGGCATAGGGGGACAAGTGCAGTCCCACATAAATAGGGACATGTTGTCACCCAAAACCCTGCACTATGATGATCCAGTGGTTCTGCTCCACTGGATACCTGAGATCATCCATCGAAAGCAAAAGACAGTGTGCACGTGAAAGAGAGCACAGGCAGGGCGGAGCGGGTGGAGAAAAGTTTCAGGGTGATTTGTGACAGGAGGATAACAACAAGAGTGACAGGGAGGTTTACAAGATGGTAGAGAGATCTGCTGTGATGTATAATTTGGAGATGGTGGGACTGATAGAAAGACTGAAAATGTGTGCATCAGACGGACAGCTCAGGCTGAGATGGTTTGGACATGTGCAGAGGTGGGACGGTGGATATACTGGACAAAGGATGTTGAAGATGGAGCTGCCAGGCAGGAGGAAAAGAGGAAGACCACAGAGGAGATTCATGGATGTAGTGTAAGTGGATCTGTAGAGGGTTGGTATGACAGAGGAGGAGGATGGAGGCAGATGACTTGCATCGGTGACTCCTGCGAAACAAGAAGTTGGAATGGCTGATCGAGAGGACAGGGAACTGCTAAGTCACAGATTTACAGCCTTTTTGAGCAACATGTCAAAATAAATACAGCGTTCATTGCAGTCAATACTTTTACGAGATTTTACGAGGAAACACTAAACTAGCGGCAACATACCGCGTCCACAGAGAAAACCAGGAAACATCGCTTAAAGCTCTAAAGATACCATTTTAAACTGTAAATTAACTTAGAACCTAAAGTTGCAGAAACTGTGCACTGTTACCAGCTGCTTCTCCTTTCAATTTCCCGCTACGTTGTTGTCGTTTTGGAGACGTTATTTCCGCATCGCAGGATGATTGGTCGTCTGCGTTAGATTCTGGACCAATCAGAAGGCATGACTGTGACTATCACGTGACCAATGAGTCATTGCTGTAGGCAGGCAGCAGGACGTCTGCGAGCAGCTTTCTCGCCTGCTCGCCTCTGCCCTCCACATGATAACGAGACCCTGAACTGTGCAGGTCGGAGGATACTCGTCACACACCGGTGTTAATGGTGTTCCAGTTTAACTAGGTTTTAGGTTAACTGGTGTTGCCAGCAGTGTTGCCAATACCGATACTTTTAACCTATAAAAATCAGCTTATTCAGGGGAAAGCATGAATTATGAAATTAATCATCATCAATTTTAATGACCATTGTGATGTTTACTTTCCACAATTATTAGTTAACACAACAAAGTACAACTTTCAGATTTTTATGTATTTTGAAACTATTTTTTTTGTCAGCTTCTGTTCTTTAAATGTATTATAGGTTATAAATAAAACAGTCAACACGAAAAAAGGTTAAGATATTATTCATAGTGCACGTTTGAGTTCTTTTTTTTTTTTTATTTCTGGGAACAAACAACAAAAAAATGTAAAATGTTCAGTGAACTACACATGGAATTTAGAGGGTAGAAACAGAGTATAACTTAGTATTGATCCCATACCAATACTAGCACTGGTACTGATATCGATCCGCCCGCCTCTAGTTGCATCGCCTCTGTCAGTGCGCCCCAGGGTGGCTGTGGCTACAATGTAGCTGCCATCACCAGTGTGTGAATGTGTGTGTGAATGGGTGGATGACTGGATATGTAAAGCGCTTTGGGGTCCTTAGGGACGAGTAAAGCGCTATACAAATACAGGCCATTTACCATTTTACCATCCATAGATTCCTCCTTTTCAGTGAGTGGTCTCCGCTGCCTGCTGGCAAAACATACAATTTGGCAAGATTAAAAGACCTCAGTGGGGAAAGGCTGCTATCTCCAGTTGATTCAAATGCATACACATATTTTTGATGAATTTAAAATAACTGCCCTCCATCTGCCCTCATACCTGTGTGTTTCTGTGACATACCACGGATCAGCTCAGGGGAAACTAGAGTATACCTACATACATCTTACTTATCAGTGTAAGGTAATCGAAGTTGCTTGCTGGAAAACAACATCAATTGATGTTGTTTTGTAAAAAATAAGCAAATGTGTCCAATTTTGCACCAACTCAGACAGGTGCAAGCATGTGTTTACCCTCAGAGTAACTCATTTCATTTAAAAGTGATTTAAAAGGAGAAACTTATGAACACTGGGGAGCGTATCAGTCAGGATGGAAACAGGTCCAAAGTTCATAAAGGGACCAGGTCTGTGTGATTTTCTTACAGTGATAAGAAAAAGTGCTGTTTATTTCAGCACGAAACACACATGTCCCAATCAACAGTTAAATGCATCTCAGTGTTAATATCACCTACAGGCAACATTACAAAATAAACGGAGTGAATGAAGTCAGACTCGTACCTGCAGGTCTGTTTTTCCAACAGTCATGAGCTACTGTCATTGCACGTGTGTTAAAATCTAGGGATCACAGCTGATGTACAAAAGTACAAAACCTTCAGTGTGAAACAACAAAGAGTATTTAAATTCTTTATAATCCTAACAACTTTAAAAGATAGAAATACTTTATTAATGAATTCAAAGCATTTTTATTTCCCACCTTCTGAAGCCGCACAGTTGGGCAGGGGGATCCTTTGACGGGCCGGGATTTGGCCCCTGGGCTGCATGTTTGATACCCCTGATCTAGAAGGATAATTGGAGCTACGGATCAGAGGTCAAAACATGTCATTTTGATGTTGGAGTGATCTGTCCCTTTAATATGTTCAAAGGCAATTCATCTGTTACCTCACGTTTTAGGACTGGCTGTTCCTGGATAATCCACTGAGTGTCACTAGTGCTCATTCGGTGATGGTAATCTGTGATCAGGCTCAGGTTTCTTTCTCAGCAACCAACTAAGCTGACACGAATGATTAAGCAGAGACGCTACAGGTGAACGGTAAATTCTTACTTTATGATGAATTCTTTGTTTCACCTTTTCCACAAATGCAGATTTCAGCATTTGTTTTTATTTTGTCGGGACGTTAGGATCAAACGTTTCTACAGAGGGGGTTTGTCGAGGAAAACACCGTCAGCAGGTGTGTTTTTAGCAGTAGAATGTTCTGTTATACAGGCCTTGGATGATATATGAAGCCCTGATTAAAAACAATCACAATATAGAAAATAAACTGGTTTCTCTCTCTGAGTACCCCCCCCCCCCAAAAAACCCCAACCTTTTAGAGAAGTGTAATAAAACAAAAGGCTCATATTGCTTTGGCTTGCATTACAGTCCACGTGTCTTTTTTAAACATGCATTTAATATAAAGTGAGAAATAAAGCTTAAAGCACTTGGTCTGTTCTTAAATCTGATCAGATGCCCATGTTGATCATATTAATCAATCTTTGCCTCTGACCCTCTGAAACCACTATTCACAAGTAAACAATGGTAACTGACACATATTAGAAACGCTCCCCAATTGATTACTGAAACTAAGACAAAAATTCCTAGATTAAAGATTTTTTAGAAATGGCATGTTTGGATACAAAATAAGAAGATTTATTCCTTTAGATGAGGGCAGGTCAAGTTTTTTTCACACTAAGCAAAGGAAAACTTGTTGAATTGTTGCATCTACATAAATACGGCCTCATTTACCATTAGAGTAAAACTGTTATAGATCATTACAAAAAAGTGGAGTGCTTTAAGTTGAAATTGAGCAGTGCAGACTTATAACAGTCCTTCGCCTCAATATCTGTTATCACAGTGCTGCTTTTTATTGGTATTTTTATGGTTGTGCGCTTAGTTTTCCTCTTAGAACGTCAGGGGCCAGCTCTAGATGATCCACGGGCCCGTTTTGGACCTCGGGCCATATTTTATCCACATGTGACCTAGTTTGGTTTGCTGCGAGTTGTTCAGCTGTTTCAGATATTTTCTTTCCAAGTGAACCACGTCGGCCAGCCGTATCCAGAGATCGTGCTTGTGACAGCGTGACAGGATGCAAATATTACAATGGATCAGCTGAGCTGTCATGTTAGCTGGCTCATGCAGTCAAAGCTCCTGATGAAACTGCTCATAACAAGATTTTTGAGTATTCACTTCATGATTCGTGCCCACATATTTCTCCTCCTACTCAGAAATAGCTGAATGAATTTCTACTTTTCCTTCTTCGCTTTTCCGATGCATCTTTTTCTTTGTTTGTTTTGTTTTTTTGTTTTTTGGCACTCTCAGCACAGTAAAGCGAGAGCCATCTGGTTCCATTATATTGAATAGAAGAAGGCAGACGTCTCAGCTTACAGCTGATATCTCCCAAACTGGGCAATTCGCACCAAAACAATCTTGGAGGATAAAAATCAGCACAGGCCAGAAGAAAAATCCATACATTCTGAGTTTTTGGAGGGGAGAGATGACATGCGTCTTTAAAACAAAGCTTTTTTCCCCCCGATCTGCTAAATATTAAACGCACATTTCACAAACAATGCAAAAGCAGACATCTGCTGACTTTAAACACATGGTTCGTATTAAGGGCGCTTGATCAACTTGTACAGATTGGACACATCATCAACATGAACAAGAACAACCACAAAACAACACACGCAGCACCAAGCTAGAGCTGATTTCGCTGGGTCATCAGGTTAATACTTTATTTTGTTTGATTGCAGCAAAGAGAAAGAAAGGGAGACGGAAACGGGGTGGGGTTGGGGTGGAGGAGAAGTAGAATGTCGGAGAGAGGAAACTACAGACTTTGGGAGAGCTGTGGCTACAAGCCTTTGTATCAAATCTAAAGACAAAGTCATCAGGCAACATTAAAACATCTTTTAAAAATAACAATAACATATTCTGTGGGCTCTATATGGCACAGTATTACCCTAGACATGTACACGATACCAAAACAGTTTAGCCACACTCCTACATCTATGAACAGCTTCGTAGCAAACAAAGCCAAGAACTCTATCTCCAAATCATCATTTCTCAAGGAAAAAAAATGCTAATTCAAATTTCTTATGCCATAACAAGGCACCTTTAACAGTTGAAATCTGGCAGATCCACATCTTACTATAATTATTTAAATATCAAAGCAGAGGCACATTCATTGAAACTAAAACATACAGTAAATAGTTGTTTTGTTTAGTTTGATTTTTTAAACCTCCAGATTCCAGTCCAGTCACTACAATACGTCGATTTGCATGCTTTTGGTCTGTATGATAACCATGAGAGCAAACTATGGCATAAGAAACTATGGTCCAAAAACACCCCCGTGAAACACAAACATGTCCGTCTACAGGAATGGCTTGAGATAGTGTATTGGAGACAGAAAGGCTTTTTATTTTACACTGAAACTAACCCACAGAAAAGAAAAACAAAACAGGTGGCCCATATACTGCCAAGGGATATGCTGCTTAGGCAGATTTATTTTGGTTTTCTTATTCACGTCGCGCAGCCGCTCGCTCTCGTACACAACACGTACCCCAAACATACAAAAAAACAAATAAAAAAAAAACATTTAAAAATAAAAAGGCTTGTAACCACACCCAAGGGGGACGCCTGTGCACCCCTGCAGTCGGTCACACAGTGTTTTCAACACTCCCACCTGGACCAAAAAGGTGCCCGAGTACCATCACACACCGAAACGTCGTCACTCAGAACAACAACACCAGTAACAAAAACAAAAGAAGGTGCAGCGAGCGAGTGTATGCTCGAGGGGGAGAGGGGCGAGGGGCGGGGAGGGGGCGGGATTAAAATAGCGCCTACAAAGTGACCGTGAGAAGTAAAAAAAAAAAGAAAAGTGGCGACTAATTTTTGTGGAATTCTTCCAAATAATACATCAAAAACATAACAGATATGGATGATTTAGAGACCAGAAAAAATATATATAAAAGGAAACAAAACAGAAGCTGTGCGCACAATGCCAGATTTGCCGAGGATATAAACGGTTAGGAAGCGAGTGTTGCTCATGCTTTGTGGATACAGAACCAAAGTTTACTGACATGTTCCTAGGACTACTGTATATATGCATACCAGACGTTATACGGTTCTTTTAACAGGTTATTTGTGTCAAAACAGAAAACAAAACAGGAACTTGGAAAAAACAAAAAAAAAAACAAACAAAAAAACAACTCTACCATTAATGTAGCTGTACTTCATTAACCTCATGACTAAATTTACATTCATATTTTGAAGTTTTTACCCTCCCCTCTTTTCCGCCGAAGCCACTTTCCCCACCTGGTAGGGCTAAACAACATAAACAACAACATCTTTTCAACGGAACAAACATATAGAGAGATAACATTACACTTAACAAAAAGGCCCCACCGCGAGGGCGTCTGGAGAGTGTCGGCCACCGCTTTTTGGCCTTTTCCTACCTCTCGCTAATAACACAAGGCAGGAAGGGAATAGTTCAGACTTTCTTTTTCTTTTTCCAATCTCCTCACAGTTATGGAGCAGGACAACATTTTTCGTCCGCAGCGTCATTTCTACGGAGCACTTCTGTTCAGAGTCCAGCAGTTTTGTGCCCATATATTTCTCTTTCCTCTTCAGAAACAACTCAATACCCTGAATTCATTTCTCTTTCTCCCCCTCATTCTTTGCTCTCTTCTTCCTGGCTTAGAAAATGGAGCCTTTTCCTCTTCCAGTCAAAGAGGGGAAAAAGCTACGCAACATGAAGGCTGACCTTTCTTTTTTTTTTTTTAGTAGTATTTTCAGTTTTTTTTTTCTTTTTAAGTTTTTAAGTGAAGGAAATGAGATGAAAAAACAGAAGTGCAATGGTCTACCAGCCTTTAATTCTTACCCAGTGGCCAGCTACATTTCCGAAGCAGCTACAAGTGTCCCTTTTAAGTGACCACTACTTTTCTTGTTTGTGCACATAAGGTATAAACTATGGTGAATGCTATACAGATCCTACAGTGTCATCTGGCCCTCGGAGTCGCCAGGTTCGCTGACAGACCTCAGAAGCTCAGCTGATCTGTCATTGTCATAGACTCGCGTCCAGCCACAGCTTCGACTTCTTAATGATTTGGATATGAAGAATCGCTTCTAAATGCACTTCTACACATTGACCTACGGTAGCTTTTCCGACTAGAGTAGGAATGCTGTGTGCGTCTCAAACGGAATGATCTTATTCCCACACACCCAAACTCACACACTTTCGCACATATGCAGTTAATGCTCAACCCCTGCATGCACACATCCCTACCTGCTGTACATGTTCATGTAAAAGCTCACATATATACCTCTCGTGGACACTTTTACACCAGCGGGACACGCCTGCTGTTCTCACTCGCTCACTCGTACAAACGCACGCAAAAGGTTTGAGTCGTTTAATGCTTCACCACCTCCAGCCGTGTTGAATAAGGACTCCTCTGCCTCATCCTTGCCCACACAAGCCTTCCCTGAAGAGCCTTTATCCTCGTTATGCGGTGACTATAAAGGGAAGTAGACTGAACTAATTTTTTTTCTTTTTTTCACAAAACACACACCCTGTTAGCAGTTCTTAATTCTTATATTATAGATAATATAATGAGTCAAAGAGGAAGATTAATCGAGCTCTAGATCTATAACACGCTACAGCTGGGCGGGAGAGATGCGGAGAGAGGCGAGCAGGAGTAAAGGCAGGAGAGTTTCTTTGCTTCTTCTCCTCCCTTCACACTTTTGCTTCCTAACTCTGATCTCTGCTGGATTAAAGAGAGGCAGGGGTGCCGTGCCAGTGTATGCACTCCTCCCGCTCCCAGCCTGAACACATGAGGCTGTCCCCTTTGAATTATATTCCTTTTAATGCGTGGCTGTCCTAGGGTTTGCTGCTGCTGTTGTCCCGTTGCTTTTTGCTGCTGCCGCTGCTGCCGCTGTAGAGGCTTGGGTTTGCCACGAGGGGATGGGGGGCCGCCCCCATGTAAGGCCCGGCAGTTGCTGCGTAGTTGAAGATGGCAGGGAGGAAGGGCAGAGGCTCCACTTTGTCTCCCCCCGGTGCCATCATATTCAGAGCCACGGGCAGCGCTGCCAAGTTGTAGGGATAGGCCAGGAACTGGGGCCCATACAGCAGCTGGTAGGGGTCCGGATAGAATGGCAGCTTGGCCAGGTCCCCGCCATTAGGGACCATCACTTTTCCCAAGGGGCCAAAGGGAAGCGTTCCAGGCGGGTAGGAGGACATGAGCAGGTTTTCCTCCTGCTTCTTACCAGAGCGGTAGCTGTCCGGCACAATGAGGGGTAGTGGATAATCCTGGGAGGGGTAACCCACTGGGGTGGTGTTACCTTGCTGGGAATCTCTAGAAGAAACGGTATCCTGGTGCTCCGGTTCAGGTGGCTGTGGGGCTCGGGGGAGAAGCAGAGCATGGGCAGAGGGGCGGTCGCCGGCACCAGCTGCTCCAGTGGGCAGCGTAAGCCTGTCAAGTCCTTGTGAACTGGAGTGAACCTGGTGGTTGGTTTGAGCTATCAGTCCAATGGTCGAAGGTGACCGGCAGGGGGATTTGGGAGTGTGCCTGTGTGATGAGGGTCCATTCATAGTGGTTTGAGTGGGGATATGTTGGGGAGATGGGACAGGGCTCAAGGGCTCCTCTTTGGGGACCAAAAGTGTGATCTGGTCCTCTGGGATGTGAGCAGCTCTACTGACTTGGTGGACCCTCTCTAGTTCTTTTTCTCTCTCCCTCACAATTTCTTTCTCCCTCTCCCGCTCTCTCTGTCTCTCCAGCTCCCTCTCTTTCTCCCTTTGCCTCTCTATCTCCCTCTCACGAGCTAGTATTGAGGACATGGTCAGGTCTTGTGCTTCATTGGGAGAGGGACTGCGGGACAGGGACTGGACTCTGAGATCTTGCACCAGAGGCGGCTCCTCGTAGCCGGCGTGTAGAAATAAACTGCTCCCACCCTGTCTCTCTCTGTCCATAATGACCCCATCCCGTTTCATGAATCCCCCCTCGGAGCTGGAACATGTTGTCATGGAAACAGGAGGAGCAGCAGTGGTTATTCTGGTCTGTGATGTCATGGGCACATTTGGGGAGGTGTTGGCGGATGCCACAGCGTGCACAGGGCTGGGTATTCTGTGGATCTGACTATCTAGGTGCTTTTTGCTGGGAGTGCGGTAGTCAAGACATTCAGATCCGTTCATGACGAGCACGGTCTGGAGGGTGGAGGGCGTGGCAGATGTTAATTTGTGGTTGGTGGGTGTAAGGTTTACTGGGGCGTCTAACGGAGGGTCTGCAGCTTTTGGTGGCTCTCTCTCTGGAGCTGGAAGTGTGGGCTCTGTTAGTTCAGGTTTGTCACTGGTTTCTGACACCTGATGATCTGTGAGCTCACAGAGGTGCTCCTCAGGCTGCTGCGACGCCAAGCACTCGCCACTGCTGGGCGGCTCTGGCGTCGAATAGCTGATGACTGAAACAGAGAGAGCACTGGGAAGCTCTGCTTTTTCATTCTCTCTGCTAAGAATGTCAGCAACTGTCTCTGCTGTTTTTGGCTCTGTGTCTTTATCTTCTCTTTCTCTCTCTGGAGAACTGCTGAGCTCGTGGCGTCGGATGTGTCGATTCAGAGCTGAGGATGTCTTGCACACCTTGTGACACTGTGGGCACGTGTGTCGTGATAAGGCCCTTCTACTTAGACGAGTTGGACTAGAGTGACTCCCTCCCAGGCCACCCTGTCCCCCCTTATCTTCATCATATTTTGAAATCTCTGGCACAGGTTTGACCCCTTCTACTTGTTCGTGAGCAGCTTTGAGAGGTGCACAGGGGGCTTCAGTAGGTTTGGGATGCTGGGCTCTCTGGTGGTCTTCCAGCTTATCCCTCGAGGGGAAAGTGGCTCGACAGAAAAGGCAAACAAACTCCAGCAGGTGGCTCAGCTCATGTTTGTCTCGTTTTCTGGGGCTCGAGAACCAGCGGCCGCACGTACCACACTCAGCTGCGTTCCCGTTAGTCCACGGCCGCCTTTTTATTCCTGTAGGAGCCACTGAGGTAGACTGAGGAGGTTTTGGAGAGTGCACAGGAGAGGTGGAAACCTCATGGCGGGTTTCCTTAACCTCTTCTTCAGCCTCTTTATTTTTATCTTTCTTTTCCCCCTCTCCCTTGTCTCTGTTAGCTTTTGGCAGTTTTTCAGCCTCCTCAGTTGTTGCATCCTCTTCTTCATCTTGTGATTTCTCTGTTTCTTTATTTGAAAGGTTCTTAAGCCTCTCTGCCCTCCTCTTCAGCCGGATGGAGCGCTTGTACTTTAGCTTCCTCTGCCAGCTCTTTACCCTCTGTAGATGTGCTTGGGCCTTTCTCTTGGGCTTATAGGAGTAGTAAGGTCGCCATAAATTGTCCTCTGTGTCATGGTCGCTCTCGAGCTCGCGCACCTCCTGACGAAAGTAGTACTCCCTCACTTCACTGGGGGATTTGGGGCTCTTTTTCCTGACCACTTCTTCTTCTTCCTCCTCCTCCTCAGAGTCTCCACCTTCCTTATTGCCCTCTGCTTCCATGCTGGCTCTGCTTTGGAGGCGGTGTCTGTGGTGGTGGTGGTGGGAGTGAGAGTGGCGTGGTTCCTTGGCGTCCCGCACAGATGATGTTTCACTGCGTTTGGTTTTGGGGGGAGAAAGGCTCTTATCTCTCCTGAGGTCTGTCTCAGATATACTGCGCTTCACTATGGCCTCCTCACCAATACGTACAGTAATCTGACACAGTGGCCCTGCCTCTTTGACCTGTGACCCTACAGATGCTGACAGCTGCTTTGAGTTAGAGATATCACTCTTGCTGTGGGACTTGCGTGATTTGTGAAATAATCTGCCTGTCTCTCTGTCCTGCCTGCCTCTCGAGCCCTCCTCTGCCGTATCTGAACTGTCTCTTGACCTCTTTCTGTGATTATCTATGCTGTCCCTTTGCTTTTTGATGGGCCGAGACGGGCCCTTGACTACAGTCTGACTGTCACTGTTTTCGGGGGATGGGCTGTTCACTGGGCTTTTCTCGCTTCCAGACGTGACCTGATTGCTATGCACAATGACAGAGGATGACACAGCTGTCCCGTGAACTATGACGGAGGGCTTTGTATGGCCATATGTTATCACAGAAGGCATGCTCGTCTCTGTGCCTCTACCACTCTTGAGACTTTTGGTTTTACTGCTGTTGGACATTTTGAAGCTGCCACTACCTCTCCCCTGCTCTGACTCAATGTCTTCACTCTCATGTTTTCTAACCTGGGACATATCTACCTGGGGGAGGGGTGTTAGTGCAGAGAGGTCCCTGTGCTCAGCAGTCACAGAGACAGGGAATCCATCAGGGAAGGCATCTGGGTCAGGCTTTAGACTCTGAGGGTGGGCCCCACTGATTAGGCTTTGCAGGTCCCCGGGGCCCAGAGCACAGCCCAGGCCTGGCAGGGAGAGGGGAGGTGTTTCGGTTGGTGGCAGGAGCAGGCCGTTATGCAAACTGTCACTGTAAGTCTTGTAGGGTCTCTTCTGGGAGCGCATGGGAAGAAGACGGTACAGTTTGAGGGCGTTAGCTTTCTGCTTATAACCCCCGTTAGCTGTCTTCTCACTGGAGATGAGGCTGGGATTAATCCCATGGATGGTCTTCTGATGGGTTTTGAGATTGTAGTACGTGGCGAAGGCATCCCAGCAGAAGATGCACTGGTAGCGGCGCTCTCCTGTGTGCCACACCTCATGCTTTGTGCGGTACTCGGCCAGGGCAAAGACCTTGTCGCAGAAATGGCACGGATATTTGCGGCGCCAGGAGTGCACATTAGAGTGACGCTTCAGGCTGGAGAGGGTCATGTAGGAGCGCTCGCACACAGAGCAGAAGTAGATGACATTGCCGTCTACCACCTTCACAAAATGGTTCTCATCACCCGCCAGCACCTCTGTGCCTGCTGCATCATCACCTTGGATACGCGCCAGGAGGCTTCGTGCTTTCTTCCCTGGCCGTGCCTTGCTGATGTCTGTCTCTCCCACAATCATTCCCCCCTCCACTCTCACCTCGCCCTCCTCCAGCGGCTCCTCCTTTGGCTGTATAGTGAGAGAAGGAGGGCGAAGGCTATTAGAGGGCAGGCCTGGCACCCTGCAGGAGGCCTCGTGGGATTGCAGTCTCTTGCTGTGGATAAAGACCTTGCCACAGTAACGGCAGCAAAGGGCGCGGCTGCCACGATGCAGCCGCATGTGGACCGTGAGGGAGGAGGCTGAGCTAAACAGCCGATGGCACACGCCACAAATCAGTTCGGGCTTCAGGCTGTCAGTAGGGGAGTAGGAGGATGAGTGTGGGGGTGCGGTGAGGCCCTCGGAGGGAGGAGGAGGTGGTGGTGGTAAAGGGGGAGGGAGATGGAGGGTGGGTGGGTGAAGACTTGGTCCGTGAGGGCTCCCAGCTTTCCCAGATGGCCTTCCTGTTATTTTCTCTCGTCTCTCTGCATCCCCGCCTCTCTGATAGGCTGATGTGCCCAGACTGAAGAGGATCTGAGCAGTCTGTGAGGGGGAGGCTGTACCGTTGGCCGCCCTGTGCCTTTCATCCCATCCATCTCTAGCATAACATCCCCCAAAAGGCCCGGTGGAGGATCTTGGTGGCGACCTGTGAAACTGAGTCTCTGAACTGAGCTTGGAGCACTTTAGAGGAGGTGGCGATTTGATGTCCTTTCTGATGAGTGCATGAACAGTCATGGGAGATGAGGAGGAGGAGGGCGAAGAGGACGGAGAGCTGTCGTGTCTTGGGGGTTTAAAAGGTCTGTGCTTTACGTCCATGGTGGCATCCAGTTTCCACAGCGACCCCTTGTCTGAGCTTTTGGACGACGGTCGCCGTCGGTGGGGGGAAGGGGAAGATGAGGAGGAGGAGCCATGACAGTGGTTTGGTGATGTCAGAGAGGTCGGAAGGGGGGCTGCACTGAGCGGGAAGCTTAGGGTGATTTTTGCATTTTTAGGTCCATCACCCATATCCTCTAACCTGTCCTCCATTGTGGTCTCTCCCCGGCCTCCGAGCCTTTTACCCTTCATCTCCAAGCGCTCAGCTTCCCCTTCCTCCCCCTCCTCTTCTTTTTCTTCTTCAGACTGGGAAGTCACACCAGGACGGTGTACTGGTTTGTATAGTCCTTTGACCTTGTTTGAGCCGTACAAACTGACAGGCGGATGCAAGGAGGAAGCTCGAGCTGGGTGAAGGGTGTTTCGAACCACTGGCAGCGGCGGCGGGGAAGACAAAGGGGACAGTCGCTGACTTTGGTGTGAGGTGGGGTCCTTAGCTGCAGTCCGTGCGGGTTTGCAGAGGGAAGCCGGGCGTTGTTCACTCAGACGTGACGGAATATGGCCCACACGGAGGGGGTCCCACACCTCACCGGACACCATGACCACCCCCCGAAATCTGAAAGAAAAAAAATCAGAAAGAAGGTATTAGCATTATAAGCATACCATGGTATATGTACAAAACATACATAAGGTAGAAAATGGACATTACACCCAAAACTTTTGCAGACGCAATCATGACAAACGGTGGAGAAGACTAAATGCCCAGCTATGCTGAACTCCCGACTGCTCAGGCAGGAATGGTGAGTGCAGGGAGGGAGAGGGCAGAGGGGGAAGGAATGAATCTGCGGCAGTGCTGGTTTAGATTTCAGCGTGCCACAGCCAAGCTTTCAGAAACGCATTCCAGCGATCCATCTCTCTCTCTAGGCTGTGACACAACATTCCCTATGCCTAATTGGAAGGCGTTCAGATTTAATCAAGATTCCCGCGGAATAAATTGCTGACTTAGATTCGTGGCCCCAACACGCATAAAAATAGTCCCGCTCTCTCTTTATATGTGAGCAAGAGCCTTGTTAGCCATTCCTGGCAGTGGCTAGTATTTGCCAGGCATGACTCTAACCATTTATTTGTGAAGGCGGGGGGAGGGAGATTGCATGCATGTGCACAGAGAAGGGGTGTTTTTCTGCCCTCTGCATCCGGTACAATCTCGGCTAAGCCGGAGAAGATGAGCGACAGGCTATCCTCATTTCCATCCTAATTCGCCTGCTACGGTGGCGGTTGCAGTGCCACTGCAAAAATGTCCCATAAATGAGAAAGCAGCAGAATCGCGTACCGGCAGTCAGCTCGCTGTTATCACTTATTTATTGCGGGTTCATTTGTTTAGGTCTGCAGATTTTGGGGGGGGGGCAGAGACGGGATTGGGCCGTAATGATGTGACGAGGAGAAAAATCCTCAGTCATGCTTTTCTGCCTTCGTTTCGAGCAGCAAAGCAGCCAGGAAGGCAGGCCGCTGTAAAATTCCACAGGCAGCCCTGAACAGGCAGAAACTAGGTCAGCACTGTTATTGCAGAGGAAAGAGGAGGGAGAGACAGAGAAGGAGAAAAGAGGGTGAGGATGAGGGAGAGTGAAAGGGTGACAGAAAAAAAGGGAGACAGAAAGAGTGTGTGGGTTAGTGAAAAAGGGGGCGGGGGGGGGGGGGGGGTTAATATAGGAACAGTCAGACACACGGCACCGTCAGATAAACAGGAGCCCAGGCTAATGCTACCACACACACACGCAGAGCACATACGTGCACTCTGCATACACTCTCACCCACAGGCAAGACAGGCCGGCATAAACAAAGCAGTTCAACATGGAAGGGCCTGCTTGTAAATGATATTCAAAACCAAAGGGTGAATCTGAGTGCACAGCGGCCTAACACTGAGGATGCAGCTGGAGTGACATGTAGCCAACGGAAGGAAAACAGAAGTGTCTTTTAATCACATACTGGGTGCAAGCAGCGGCACATGCTCTTTGTTATGCAAGGGACAATAAAGCGGTTCATGCCGGCTTTCAGATCTAAATCAGAGCAAGGGTGCACGAATCAGTGCTCAGTACTGAAACGGGCCTCCGTTGTCGCTCACATTTGCTGAGCGATAGATGTTGTGCAGGAAATCCCTTATGGCAAGCGCCAGGCTGCTACAAGTGGGCGGACGCGCTGAGAGACAGCGCCAAGGCTAAAAATTTCATTCCCTCATCTGATTCTTGCGTCGCGGACAGGAAAATGCGTACGACGCCCCCTCGCTCTTTCTCTTCATCTCCCTATGACGCACGGAGCCACTGTGCAAGCAGAGCCTGCACAACACGCAGCCTGACTGTGACAGGCTGCCTTTTAAAAGTCCCAACTTTATCTCCACACACACACACACGAGTGGACAAACACCTCGACACTCGGCGCACAGACAAATGTGACCATGAGAGTCCCCAGGCAAAAATCAAAATAAACAGCAACCCTGTTCCCACACCTCTCTGCAACAGGATGTTCTGCACAAATAAACACGTCGCCCGGCCTGTGAAGCGTTCGTCTATTTATGCTCGTGGCACTACAAAAACCGCGCATCGAGAGCAGGTGCTCAGCCGGTGCGGGCCAAATTACGGAGCGGGCTCACGTAAACACGACGCGCATTATAGCAAACGCGTCGGCTTTCATGTAAAGACAGAGACGCTGGGCTGACAGGCAGAGGGATCAAAGGCAGACTTTGAGCATGATTCAGTTTGTTTTCCACATCAAATGACAAATCTGAAGAGAAAGTAAACATCAGCGGTTTTGATTAGGAGGATTTTATTCTTTAAAACCTTAAAAATAGCACAAAGTTGAAGATCGGTGCATTTAAAGTGACAATAAAGTTCCTCGTTTTGATTATAATTACAAATTAAACGTTGACTGCACATTGTAACGGCATGGCCAACACGTATGACCAACGCATGACACCATTAGGGGGATACAGATGGGGGCCCAATCGGGTCTGGCATTCACTGCGCAACCCCTGTATGCCACCGAGCAGGAAATCTTCAGGGAAAATTAAGGCTCGTTTTTTGTTTTTCACTACTGCTATCAGTCGCTTTCCCCAGGTAACTGAAATGAGGGACACTGGAAGAAATAGAGCCACAGTGGAAACTGTGATTGGCAAATAAGAGGGAGGAGGCACAGTAGCGCGAAGAGGAAGCATGACACGCAGCGTGAGTAAAGCAAGGAGAAACCTCAGACAGAGGAATTCACTTGATGGAGGTGAGAGGGTTTTACGGGAAACGCTGATCCGTAAGTAACAAAGCCTACCTGACCGTACTCCTCTCATTAACCTTTAAACTCCTTAACTTTAGGAAATTAAAAGTGCTATCCAGCACAACAAATAACTTGGACCTGCTTGGACTCCAAGTTTGACTTATTGACTTTGGGGTCTTTTTTCTCTTGGCAGGAGAAAAATGTGGAGAACTTTAACTTTTCCCTTATAATTGTATGATTTGCAACGGACAATCAGTCACCGGGAACATCGCCGCTAAACTGGCCTTGTATAACAGAAGGCAGGACGGCAGAGGAGTTTGGCTGGTGCACCAGCTCGAGGCCTTGAACCAGACGTTGAGCAATCTGTTTATTCCGCACTGAAACTGGTACTCATGCTGATAGACAAATAACTGGTGGGATTCAGTTACCATGTTTTTTTTTAACCATCTTACAGAAACACTCTCAAAAATCAAACCACCAGTGTTGAGATTTTTTTTTAATCTTCAAAGGGAAAACGACATAAAAAGGAAACCCTTTACAGCTCTTTCACAACAATACTTCTTATAATTGAATATTAAAAGGTCTGATTAAAGCAAATTAGATTTAATGCTGCTTTAGCGCCTCTTAATGTGGCACAATCAATATAGTGCAAACAGCTAACACTTGCACCTATGGCTCCTTTAAATTTTGAACTAATAGTGCTTAAATGATTAACTTCACCTCTGGGTATTCACTCTTTGCCATTCACCCTCCCAAATTAGGCCTTGATTAAAACTTCTTTTTATTTCCACAGTTTAGGCCATCATATTTACACAACTGCAACACAACAACAGGATATCTTCGATAACTTGCACGCCTGGGAAAAAAAAAATAGAAGCAGCTTGACGATCAAACAGGCCGTGACGGACCGAGTTTAGTTTGAGTTTACTCTGACCCTGAATGCAGCGGATGAGTTTGATGCGTTTCTTATAAAATAGGAAACTGTAACCAGCGGCAGTAACCTGACAGTAACTACAGGTCACAGCTGAACCAGGAAGTCTGTGTGTGTGTGTGTGACTTATGTTTTTCCTTCTTTGCAATCCTTTTTCAGGATATCCCTTTATTTGTGGCGTGATAATAACATTGCACTCAGCAATTAGGCTGCTGACTGCAATGTTATTATTACTGAAAGTAATCATGGTATCAGTGCTCGTGCGTGTATTTGTGTGTGTGTGATAGGTTAAGAGGAGTGCCTGCGAGGGTGAATGTGGGGGGCCTGTGTGTTCCAGCCGGCGAGCCAGCGGCGAGGAGCATGTGGGAAGACGAAGGTGTAGCTGGGCGCCCTCCCCTGTGGAAGGTCAGCCAGAGGGGCCCAGGCATCGAAGCAGCAGTAGGTCTGCAAAGATGAGTGTTTGTGTGTGTGCATAATGTTGTGAGTGTGGGTGGGTTGGTGGGGTGGGGGGCATCGTTAGCAAGAACAGCTACTGAACTCCCAACAACCCCCCGGCCAAGAGGGCGTGGTGGAGCCAGCCAGATGGGATAGAGCAGGAGGGAGGAGGTAAGGGGAAGTTGGCATGGTTCGGGGAGTGGTTATGGTGGTGTGAGTGGGGGCGTGGGGGGGCTGGAGGGGAGACTTCAAACACATCCATCCCGTGTTCACATTTTACGGTTTCCTCGTCTTTCATATCCCCCCCTCGTGCAATCCCTCAGTGTGACTGACTGCGTGCCCCCACCCTGTGTGTAAACTGTCGTATCATGGTGTTTTCGAATGCCACTGCACGCACCGGCAAACCTGCCCGTGTCTAAAACGCACCACTCTCCACGCTCTGTTAGCTCCCAGCCCAGCACGTAATTCCCATAATTCTGCTTGCTGCAACAGAATCATGGGAGGCATTAGGAAGCAGCGAGACCCAAAAAAACATGAAGAAGGGAAAAAAAAACCCCCAGCTCTGGAGAGCGGCGGCAATGCATCGGTGACCTTTGTTGAGGTAATTCCCCCCACCCCCAAATCATTTTCAATTTCATGCGCAGTCCCTGCTGAAGGCGTGAAAACCTCATTTAAGTTCTTAACATGCGAGTATTAGCAAAGCGGTTTGTCACCATGAACAGCAAGTACACCCATGGCAGGGTGAGCAGCAAAGCGCTGCACCAGCTTCCTGAGCTTGTCCACATCCTTTTAAGTTTGCAGCATGTGAGAAAAAAAACAAAAACATTTATGTAAACACAGCTAACCAAGTCAAAGACGGTAACGCTTTTCATCTCAGCACTTTAATGTCCAGCGCAGAAAAACGCCTCAAAGGCACTTAATTCATCTAATGTGTGACTCAGCCACATTTAAAATAGCAAACCGCCGCTATCAACATCATCATCTTCTTTTAT